TGTCAGAAACATCCCAGCGAGTAATTATGTTGTAAAAAAACACATGAGTAATGTAAGGGTTAATGAACGTGGCAGGTATAAGAAATTCTGTCTATACTCACGGAAACATAAAACGCGCGGTATTAGATTCGCTCAACTCGCATGAAGTTTTTTGATATGCACCATGATGCATCAAATCTTCTCTCGTTTCTCTAGAGGGTGAGCTTCTCTTGCGTTTCGCATCCTGACGCGTGCATGAGCACGTAAATTGATACAGTCCTCACGATGGAGAGAGAATCACGGATAAGGACTGAAAATTGTTGGACATTTTTCCTTTAGCGAAAATTGCACGATAGATAAATCGCACAATGTCTATTCAGCAGTCATCGCAGATGTATATTTGCGGAAATAAACGTACGCGAATGCTAAGCGTACCTTGGTTCTTGACATTTAGCTCTTGCCGCAATAGATTTACATTGTACATCTCGCGTGCGCGACGTAAGCATGTTTTACAACACTGTCCAAATAAAAGCGTCGACGGAAATCATGTTTCTTTGTTCTTTTTTTTTGGCAACAAAAATTTTACAGTCGCGTGAACCAGGTCGGCACTAAGTTCCTGACGTTGGACGCGACTAACGCGAATTATTTGGACTGTTCGCGTTGCTTGAAATCCCCAAAAATTTGTGCGCTTAAAGGGATTCTAAAGTCATCTGTTTTACCAATTTAATACAATAATTTTCGTGTGTATTACTTTTACGGATTTGGAAATCCAAATTCAAAGTAAATGCACAGAAAAATACATACTGTACGCAAGTATTAATTACTTGTTTCAAAAGTTTGTAGACTCAAATCTATCATCACAAGCATCAAATTTAATATATTCCGAATCCTAATAAGTTTCATTCTTCAATCAAAAATATTAAATTAAAATAAATTCAACTTGCTTATTATTATACATTATAAAGTTGCTTCTTCAATTAATTTTATAATATTCTTAAAAAAAAAAAATAAATAAATAAATTCTTGTTTTGACAGTTTTGACTACATAATAATGAATTTTTATAAAATATGGCATATAAATATATTTTAAAATTATTCAAGAAAATTCTTTGTTAAAGATAACCGTTACTTAGAAGGAGAAAAGTATAATATAAATTAAGTATAATCACTTTTCTGCCGAATGATATTTTTCTACTTGTAAACGCTTACATACACGTTTATAGGCGTTCATCGATCGCGTGACTTTCCGCGAGTCGTGCCTAACACTGTAACAACTTTGAACTTGATCTATTAATAACGCCGCAAGGAGATTAATCGCGTCGCGGTCGCGCCCTCGCGTCCGTCATGAATCAACGGATCTGAAAATCGTTTTTTGATTTCTAGTCTGTCGCGCGTGTCCGCCTTGAAAAATATCTGGGCTACACGAAAGTCTCAACGTTGTATGCGGGGAGGAAAAAGTTTCTGTATTAATGCCATTTACTATCATTTACCGCGACAAACGTCATCGCCATTATGACCCTGCGGTGCGGTACGATCGCGAGAGACGAGGAAGACAATTGTAGATTCGTCCTGGGACAAATAGAGGTAGACGGCGTGCGCTGATAATACGTGTCCGTAGACTCGCAAGCGTCTTCCTTTGGTCTCTTCGCTGCTTTCTTCCGTAATAATCGTTACGCTGGATAGCCCCCCGGAAAGTAAAGGCGCCCTGAAAGTAAAGATACGCGAGAGATGTATACACCGATACCGGCACCCCTCCCCTCCATCCCAATTATGTTTCATCAAGACTTTAATTCGGTACTTTGAACACCGTAACGCAACGACCCGGGACGGACGGAATTGCTCGCCGAGTACCTGTATCTGGAAAGACGCAGCTGAGAAATTAAATATCGCGAGGAGCTTCGTCTCTCGGTATAGAGATACGTATTCTTTAAGAGTACAATGCCAATTTGGTAATAGTTATTGCTGTAATTCCGCTTGACGCAGCCAGTTTGACATCTAAATGATGAAAATTTTAAAAGGCACTTTGAAAACGGCAATTACGGTAATTTAATCATTGTCGATCTTACGGAACATATAATATTCGTCCTACTTTTGCATTATCTCGAAAACGTTCTCTAAAAGTCGACTTGAAAATTTAATTCAAACAGGAAAATTAAAAATTTAAATGTCGAGAGATGCAGACAATATACTATGATCATCCTAATACACCGTGGAACGAGATTAAGCTACATTTAATCCGATATTTCTATGCGCGATTGTATAAAGTCCAACGACGAAAAAGAATGCATTTATAATGAAATTTTGTCTGATAGTCACGAAATCTCCGGTGTTACTGTAACATTAAACGAACATCAGAGAGGCGTCATCATAGTTATCAATTATAACGCCGATAAAGCTGTCAAACTGAATCTGGGAAACATCGAGCAGCAAACCGCCCCTTATGCTCGTCGATTGAAATTTATCGACACGCCATAATTACACGCCACGGAAGTTAGATTGTACGGCGTTCTAATTCTCATTAGGCGCGTGCGTTTAGGTAGTGACAAAAAAATTCGCTTAAAAATTGAGTTAACAATTAATGGGACATCTCGAAATTCGGTTTTCTCCGAAAAGAGCGACGCTTACAAAATAAATCGAAATTGTCGACAGACACCGCGCATTTTAAAGAAAAGCACTCCTCTCTTCTTTACGATATATTGTAATATGTGTTATATACAGAATGTTCGATGAATCTGTCCACGCCGATATCTCGGAAACTATTAAAGTTAGACGACAAATATAAAAAATTCTCTTTAATGGGATTACTTTGAGATGATTTTTAGTGTGATAGAACTGTACTCTCATCCTCTATGAAATTTTGAGAGAGCAAAAGGTAGTCGAATTTTTTGATGAATACAGTTCCATCACTGAAAATCATCTCAATATAATCCCATTGAAGAGAATTTTTTTTACTTTGCGTCTAAATTCTGATAGTTTCCGAGATATCGACATGGACAGATTAAATCAAACTGAATATATATGATATATATGATATAAAGACAAAAATATATAATAATATGTAATTATAAAGTACAAGAAATGTAACACATTTAATATATTCATTAATACAGTAAAAATATCTTTTCTTTAGCCTAAGAAAAAAATATAAATGATTTTTATAGTTTCCTGAATACTACAACAAACAATTCTAATCGTCAAGATGTTCTACGATGTGACACGCCAAATTTTAAATATATAATTATAACATAAATTAATTTAAGAGATTAGATCTCTTAAAATCTCGACTGATAGAAGGCGAAGTGATGGAATATTTTTGAAGTCGATGTATTAAGTATTGGTAACAGCAGAGATGATTCATGTTGTGGACATTTTTCTCGTGGAACATGCAATTTTAGATTCTTCATTTTTTATTTAATATAAAAGAAATACGAATCATCTGCAAGGTTAATTCAAGCAAATCCCTTTATTGTGAAACGACAGTTGATTACGCATTCGATTGTAAATCGGGGGAAAGAGCGTACCCAAGGGTTTGTTCTCCCACGAGCGTTCCCGCAATATCGATTTGATAACGACGGATCGAGTGGTTGGAGAAAAAAACGAAGAGAGAACACTGTTCGAAAGAATCGAGGAGAGGGAAGGAGAATTGCATGCGACGAGCGGAGGCAAAGGCCGGCAGGGAAAAGTGCGCGCGTCGAATATACGTATATACGTTACGTATATATGTATTCGTTATCGTGAACCCCGGTTAAGCGTTTTCTACCTCTATTTGCGTTTTGTCGAAACATACTGTTTGTCTTCAATCCACGTGGATCGAAAAATATCGAAGAGGTCGAGCATACAGGTTAATAGCACGCTCGAGCGATCCACGCTTCGAAATGTGCACTCAAACAACCAATAGTGCTTAATTGAGTGGATTTCCCGCCTCGTTAAAATTCTAATGATCGCTAAGTGTTATTGGAGATACCACCGGTAGGCGATCCTCTGGGAAAGTTGCGGGAGGTTCGCTTCTAATGCAGGCACGTTCGGAAATGATGTTTCTTGCGAGTCTTGTTTGGGCCAACGAAAAAGCGATGGTAGAGGAATCGTACACGAACATATAATTCAAGGACTGCTCATTCGTAAGGGAAAATATCGTAACATCAAGGATGTGGAATGCAAAAGGGGAATTTCTGTCGGCAACGGAGCACCGACGAGCGAGTGGAGCGAGTAGTGATGTACGTTTAATAACGGGAGGTGAGTCGGACTCGCTTCACGGTGTCGTAATAAAGAAGGGATGCAATAGAAGCGGCTTTACTACTACTATTAGTCGGATCGTAGATCCTTAGAGTATCCTGGGAATTTTTAGAAACGTATATATGAGTCAGAAAATTGAGTAAGTCAAAGCACAAATTTCCATGAGAAATCAATTCCGATAATTGTCAAGATGAATCATGTATGAATGCTTGCCTCTCGTCAGAGGCTTTAATCAAATTCTTCAAAGTGAATAAATCGTTGTGCTTTTTTTTTCTACAGTCGATAATAAAAATGAATGAATATCAAAATGCGAACAACAGTTAACTTTATGATCATAAACGTGATAAGAATAAATTGCACATTTCTATAAAGTTGTCACTATCGGTTTAGAAAAAGTGAAATAATTTGAATTATAGCTCTCTCTCTCTCTCTCTTTCTCTCTTTTAAATCAAATTGAAGAGAAATACCGATATACTCGTATTCAATTCCTTTTAACGGAGCATAGATGCTAAGATCAAGGAATATGCAATTTATATCTATTACGAAATAAATAAAATTCTAAAAATATAAAACATCATTTTTCATTTTTTTCAGATTATTCAATTAATGCTTTGTAAAAATGTATCAGTTAAAAACTTATCAAGAATACTTCCAAGAAATATTTTTAGAAATTTTTATTTCGTTGTCTGCTTGGCTTGAAGCTATCGCCGTTTCGTAGTCAACACAATTTCGTAAATGCTAATTCCGCGGAGATTTCGCATGCGACAAGAACAAGATTGCAAACTCACGTATACAGCGGTACTCCGGCTTCGTCTTTAAACCAGAAAACCATGTGCAGCGTGTCTTCACCAGGGGGAGTAATGTCACACGGCAATTCGGCAGGCCTTCCTTCGACTACGCTGATGTTCACCAAAGGGACTGAAAATAGATGTTTTATTTGCTTAAATAATCGTTTCGCCATTTTTATAGCTGATATGCAATATAAATTAATTAGAAGTACGTAAACTACGTTTACTGGTTCTTTTAAGGAATAAAAATCCCTCAACTTATATTTCTCCGAAACTTTGCGAAGGTCTGACAGCGAATTTCTCTCCAATCTCTGAAAGCTCGCCGCGAAAAACGAATTTTACGGACAATTTTTCCAGCAAACGTTTACGGGCAAGGAACGACGCAGATACGCGTGTAAATCGATAAGTAATATTCGCATGTGACTCAATATCAGAAATACTGGTGATTTGCCGATCGCCGTCGACGTCGATCGAACGATACGCGAAATCTCCGATTTCGTGATGGGATTAAGAGATCCAGCTTATGAAATTTCGTTTTTCCACGAAACATCCTTTGATCGTTGTCGTCATGGTTCACGCTGCATATCTCTCCCTCCCCCCCCCCTCTCTCTCTCTCTCCTTCCCCTTTCTCCTTGTTATTTTGGCCGGAGACGCAATCCGGTTGGACCGATTCGAGTAAGTGGATAGCTCGTTGGTCAGATCTCGCATGGGAAGGCCAATTCCTTCCGTAAATTTCCGGTAGGCTATTTCCAAGAAACGAGTTTCCATTCGATTCGGTCGGCTGCCTCCGTTTTCCTCCCGCGTGACGAGGCGGACTTGGTGTAGCCGCTACACGGGGAGAAAAACCCGGGGGAATAGGAAGTCCGTGGCGCCGTTTCGCTCGTGACGCAAGGGTCCTCCGGACTTTTTGTCGTTGACCGATGTGAGAAAGAAGGTAAGCGATCTCGCGTCTCGCCTCACCGCTCTCGATTTTGTCGCGCGCCGGGACATTGGGTCGTCGCTAGTTCCTGCCATCGAAACAACCGGGGACTCAATAAAGAAACTTCCTATCCAAAATGAAGATCACCTTTTCGTCTTTCAAATCTTTTTGCTCCATAGAACAATATCATGTCGAATCGATCTTTTTGTTACTATACTTATAGACTACTGATCTGAGAAAAAGATAATTAAAAATTTATTTGTAAGATATAATATGTATTCAAATGGGATTTCTTATTTAAATACGGCTAACAATACAATTTAAATAAAATTTTATTGTCAGCAAATAGACCATCTATTTTATTTTATTTTTTTTTTACAATTAATAACAAAAATGAAATATTTATTCACCGAAATGTATGTTCTGTCATCACAATTTTTTTTATAATCAATAAATATAAAAGACAACGACACATTGACTTTTAACTTTTTTTTTTCCAAACAACATTATTTTATGACTTAATGTTATTCATGCATATCTAGCTATTTTTTTTCATATTTCTGTCTTTAATAAAGAAATTAACAATTCAATTATATTTCACTAACAATATTACATCATGTTTAAATGTATTAGAAAAATAACATTGATGTACCAAACTATTTTATCAGAATCACAACATCGAATTGTAGAGCTATCGTTTTAACGAATCTAAATACCAATCTCTTATCAAAGTCTTTTGTCAATAATTGACACGACGTTTACTTTAACGGGTAGCTCATGCCCTGGCTTTGGGTGGAATTTTAAAAGACCTTATCAGCACGAGCAAGGGACAAGTATAAAGATTAGCATAGGCTTAGTATTTATTGCATGCCTCCAGCTCCAACGACGGGCATAAATATTGTTTAAGGGCGACTCTTTATCATATAAACGCCCCGACGTAACGGTGCTCATTTGAATTCCCGCTTTTTCCAGGGCATAAAATGGGCTTCACCGACGCGCAACAAGCCGTTTACTTCCCCTCCGGTTACCGGAGTAGTTGCTGGTGCCGTTGCTACGTCGGTGCAGCAACGGCAGCAGGGAAACCGCAAGCCTCCGCCATTATACGTGGAAAATGCAAGAAATCCCTTCACGGATTCGTTATAATTTCATATATGTACTTTAACAACTCACGGTTAGTGTACCGTTTCGTCTTTTTTACGACTTTTAATCACTGACAAATTTAAATATAATAAGGGAACAGATTTTGGAAAAAAAAAATACTTTTTGAGTGGAAATAAATTAACTTAATTATTTAATAGAAAAACGAAATCGTTTTAATCAATATTCCAGATTTCAAATATAATACATACGATATTCATTATTCGAGTATATGTGATCAAGAAGATTTTAACCTTTAAAGGATGGGAGTCTATTTTTGAAATTCTTACAGTTTTTTCTTGAGTAAGATTTGTTATAATTCATTATTTAATCGTATTTCTTGCTTCAAAATATAACATTGTTTCAATGCCTACAGTAACTTCCCAGCTTTATAAGCTTAATGTTTACAAAATTATTGATAACGTTCAATTTGGTATACGTTTGTAAATAGGTGGTACACCTGACTATTATCCAGTACCCTTAATTAATTCATGTAATTCAATGTCAACAATCGCGGCTTTCATGCTGCAAATGCCTATTGATCTCGAGATATTGAATATTGTCTTCTGAAAATCTGCATTTACTCGCACTGATTATGTTCAATTTATACGCAAGCGAGCACGAAAATAACTGTCAATGGGCTAATCGTTCGCTGGCCCGACGCGTGTATTTTAAATAACAGAGAAACCTTGAAAGCCGTTTCGATTAATGAAATTCCGCAACACGTCCGCAATTAACCCTCAAAGACCCGAGGCGCTGGTCGAAATGTCCAGCGGCGTGCTAATGGCAGAAGCGATGGTCGTGTAGCATTCGAAACGCATTTAATGAATTCATTATCGATCCAAATCGGTATTCGGTCGCGCGTTCGCTCAGAGCTGTGCAAAACGGTTTCCGCGATTCCGAAATCGATACGACGTGAAATCGTTTCGCGTAAATTGTTACGTGGAAACCGCCGAGCCCTAATTCTAAAAATTAGAGACAAATTGAGAAGAGCAGTTTCGACTTTGTCGATTCATGAAATCCGGCGTGTCGTAACGTTGATTGAGCAAGTTTTTCGATCAATTCGTGTCGCGCATCGAGGAAGATTTCACTTTGCGCCGATTGGCGACGATCGTTTTTCGTTTTAACGCGACCGTATTCCACATATAGTCGATGAGGGAAACGTAGCGAGAATAATACCGCAAAGTTCAGAAACTCGCGACGTAACGCGGACGTTTCTTTTATAAAATAAAATAAAGAGAAAGTCCTGAAGAGTCCATTCGCCGGCGTGCAAAAATACAGCTCTCGAATAATGTCTAATGGAAAAAAAAAAAGGGATGTCACGAAGAGAGGGTTTCAACCTGCGCGCGAGGAACTGCTCGAAAAAGTTTAGTCAATATCTGCGGGGAAGTACGGGAAACGGATATGTCGCGTTCGGAATCGTAACGGACGTGTGTCTCTCGTGCGACACGTTTTTAACACGTTCAATTATATACCCACCGCGATAACGACGACAGATGTTCGGTTACATCGCCATGACGTTGTCACTCGCGCGTTTCAGAATGATGCCTTCATTAATAATTAACAGCGCCCGCTCGGCAGCTTCTCGAGCGTAATTACAGCATGGGAGAGCGTGCGCACGCGAGAAGAGTTACATAATTCTATTAATAATACCGGGCCATTACATCTGTTGGAGAGACCCGCGTGAATAATGAAAATTTCCCGACAAAAACTTCGCCGCGGGAGGCATTAATTGCTAACGAAGAGCGAGAGATCAAACTCATGATCTTAATGCGACCCGTCCCGAGGTAACATTTTGAGAATGTCGTCTTCCACATTTTCTTTTTCCATCCGTTAATATCGCGCAGCATGTGGTGCAGGGAAGATTGAACCGAAGTTTCCGTCCGAAAAGAAGAGGAAAAAAAAAAGGGAAGACAGAGAGAAAGAGAGGCGAGACTACCGTAGGTGGACGTCGAAGTCCGTTGTGTTCTCCCTCGGGGGATTTTCGCGTGAACTTTTCTGAACTTATACCTCGGCGTTCTTCGTCGAAGCCGCGACATGACAGTGAAAGCAAGTATTTTCATAAATCTCTAGGAACGACATAGATTGATCGTGTCGCTGTATCGACGTCGCCATTACACCGTAATCGCTCGGGCCCGGATATACGTTAATGGACGATGTCGCTATATCGCTATACAACTTAGGCACACATGGTCGTCTCGAAAGCATGGATCTCCGAAAAGAATGGAAGAATGTTTCGTACATTTCGCGTTTAGGGCGTGTATGTTGAGTATGCACATTATGTGCATATTTACATTATAGTGTCTACGTTATATCAGGATTGTCACAAATTCCTCATCCTAACATTCCGTAACTTTTCTCAGATTTTCAGACAAAATTTCATGATATTCCCCCTCTGATGCTTTCAATAACAATTTGAAATTCTTGTATTTTCATCCTGATTTGGAAACCGTTAAATATTTTGTGAAAGGTGCAATTTAACACAACAATGTAAATTACTATTAACTGCTTGTATTTAAATGTTAAGTTTGTAGTATTCCAAAATTACATACGTATGCATATTAAATTCCTTTAAAGCTAAGAATTTTAATTTTCCAGAGAATTTTGCAAAATTTCCTAATTTTTCCCTGATTTCTCTGACCGTTTTCAATTTTTCTGGCATTTCTCTGATTTCGCTAAATTCCAGTTTTACGACTTCTCTGTACATTCATACTCGAGGTAACATTATCCGAATTTTTTACTCGGCTTTTTTATCGCGCATCGTGTGAATTTGTTAAAATAATTTCATTATGATAAACCGACCATAATGATTTCATATTTAACGTACGAGTAACATATTCATGATATCTATGAATATTATTTGTCGCGAATTAGTCCACACTAGAAACAATTTCGTCGCATTATGAGCGTAGTTGATACGGTTGGACTGATTCAAGGATAACGACCGAAACACTGTGTTACATCCGTTATTTAGAGGTAGTTAAGTATCCTGAATATCCTCCTACCATCGGAACTCTCTTCTCAGGCTGGTAGCCTCAACTTGACAAACCCGTTTGCTTCCACTAAGCGTATCAACCTCACCATTGTCTACGCTCGTTGTTCCCTCTCCTTTGCCCA